TGGCTTGAGCTGGGAGGAGACCAAACAAATGTGCCCACCCGATATCACTCCAGCTTGTCACAACTCCGCAGATTCGGTCACTATTTCCGGTCCACCTGCGTCTCTGGAAACGTTCATAGAAACGTTGAAAAGCAAAGATATCTTTGCCAAAATGGTGAAAAGTTCCGGCTTTGCCTTCCACAGTAAATACATAGCCTCCGCTGGACCTAAGTTACGTGCCTCACTCGATAAGATCATACTAAATCCGAAACAGAGATCGGCTAGATGGATTTCCAGTTCCGTACCGGAGGCCGCATGGGGCAGTCCGCTCGCGCAGTTTAGCTCGTCCGCATATCATGTGAACAATTTGCTGTCTCCTGTGCTCTTCCAGGAGGCAATCGCGCATATCCCAGAAAATGCGATAACAATCGAGATTGCGCCTCATTGCCTGTTACAAGCAATCTTGCGCAGATCTTTACCACCAACGGTGACCAATATCGGTCTTCACAAACGGGATCATTCAGACAACCTGGCTTTTCTACTATCTAATGTGGGCAAGCTGTACACGGCTGGTGCGCAACCTGATATCTCCAAATTATACCCACAAATAAGTTTTCCTGTAGGTCGTGGAACACCGATGATCGGGTCACTAGTCAGATGGGATCACTCTTCCGCGTGGGATGTTGCTGTTTTCAAGAAAACATCGAGCCACTCGGGAGAGTGTATTGTCCAAATAGATCTGTCGAAAGAAACAGACGCGTATCTAGTGGGACATCAGATAGATGGACGAGTCCTTTTCCCAGCCACTGGCTACATTCTGTTGGTGTGGAAAACTTTGGCGAAACTGCGCGGTACTGATTTTGAACGATTGCCAGTAGTGTTCGAAAACGTGCGTTTTCAACGAGCCACCATCATGCCAAAGGAAGGAACGGTGAAATTTTCGATAACCATCTTCGAAGGAACGGGAGACTTTGAGATCTGCGAGGCCGGTGCTATCGTCGTCAGTGGAAACATCCGTGCGTCTGAGGCTATTGAAAAAAATCAACTGAAACTACCGCCACCACCAATACCGCCTATTGACGAGGACATTTTGCCTTTGAATACTAAGGACATTTACAAGGAACTAAGACTACGTGGATATGAGTATCGTGACATTTTTCAAGGAATCAAATCTTGCGATAATTATGCTAATGCCGGTGAACTTTACTGGTTCAACCAATGGATTCCGTATATAGATACTATGCTTCAGTTTAGCATATTGTCCATCAGCAATAAATCACTATATTTACCGTCGCGTCTCCAATACGCTGCAATCGATCCCATTCTTCACAAACAACTGATGGAAGAATTACCAGAAGATGTTGGGTTGCCGGTGTATCACTACAAAAATATTGATATTGTTAAATCGGGTGGCGTTGAGCTTAGAGGATTGAAATCTTCCTTGGCACCTCGACGACAGCAGACTCAAGCCGATCCTAAACACGAACGGTACACTTTCGTGCCTTATGAAAACTTGCATAGTCTGGTGGAGGATCCAACGAGAGGAAAAGTGCACGCGCTCACTGTACTTTCGCAAATCATGTGTCAGAACATGACGGCATTAAAATTGAAGACTGTAGAAGTTGCAGGCGAACGAGCTGCGGAAGCTCTCTTGGCACCGCTTATGCTTAATATTTTCCATAATGAACTGGGCTCGCCTATCGTAAGTATACCACAAGATTTTAATAAACTATTTGTTTCACTTAAAATGCAATATTTTTTCCATTAAAAAGTGTAGCATATGTAGGAAGGCAACACACACATCTCCAGAAATCAAACCTGAATACTTTTTGTTTAACGTTGAAATATCCAGAGGATCCTACTTTAATAAATTACACTATCACAATAAGAATTGAACAGAAAGCTTTTTGAAAGTAATAATTAGAAAGGATTTTATCTATGATTATTATTAGTGTTATTTGAAAAAAAAATTTTTTTTTATTCTGCTAAACTGTACTACTTATTGTATATGCTGTTTTAAAATGCGTGTAAAACTTACAGGTACAACAAAGCATGTCACAAACATAATTTATTGCCAATCATAAGTTATTATTATTTGTGACTATTTTTTTTTTTCAAAATGTCTCTTCAATATTTAAAATTAATAAAATCACTTCGCATTTGTTTCGCTTTGTTTCAGATTGATTTACAAGTAATCGCATCTTCTGCCGATAATTACACGGCGAGTTTAAGTCAAATGAATGTGAACGCTGATGTCGTGATACGAGACGTGAACAATGCACCTCCCGCTCAAGATGTACATCTCATCATAGCGGCGGACGTCCTGTCCAATCAGTCTTATACCGTTCTTAAAAATTTGGTAGCTGCCTTAAAACCCGGTTGTTTCATTCTTCTGGAGGAGACCGCTGCGCATCTAGATTTGAAGACCGCATTGAAGGAAACTGATTTAACATTGACCGGAAAACAAATAGATCCTATAGGAAAGACTTACTTGTTATTGAAGAAGCGAGAGGAAAGAAGAGAACAGATAGTAATACAAATCACAGAGAAAAATCTCTCATGGCTGGAGAATGTAAAAGCAGCATTGAAGAAATCTGACAGCGACGGTCAAGAACTGCTTCTTATATCTCAGGGCGAAGAAACGCTTGGTACGATAATAGGAAAAATTATTTCGTATACTTTCAATTCACTTCTTTAATTATGATGTCCTACATAAGGATCAAAATATAAACAGATCAAAAGAATGTTTCGTTACTTTTTGTTCATAGGCTTGGTTGGACTTATGGCTTGCATACGACGCGAGGTAGGCGGTGCAAATACCCGCTATGTTTTCATCCAGGATAAGAACGCTCCCAAGTTTGACTTATCCGTACAGTTTTACAAGGAACAATTGAACAAAGAATTAATGGCCAACGTGTTAAAAGGAGGACAATGGGGCAGTTATCGACACTTGCCGTTAGATCAACAGAACAATGTGTCTTCCCTGCAGGTAGAGCATGCCTATGTTAATACATTGACAAGGGGAGACCTCAGCAGCTTGAGGTGGATCGAAGGTCCGCTAAGTTATTACCGGCCCGACAATTCTTCTAAAATGAAACTTTGCAGCGTGTACTATGCTCCACTAAACTTCAGGTAAGTTTCAATGAATATCGTTTATTGGTAAATAATTTAAATAATAAAAGTATGACACACAGATAAATATAAATTATACAAATTATACAGGGATATCATGTTGGCAAGTGGCAAACTACCACCAGACGCTCTGCCAAGAAATATGGCTGCGGAAGAGTGTATATTAGGACTCGAATTTTCCGGAAGAGACGCTGATGGTCGTCGTGTGATGGGCATAGTTGAAGCTAAAGGATTAGCGACTACTGTGTTAGCGGATCTTGATTTCCTTTGGGAAGTACCCGACAAATGGACCTTGGAACAGGCGGCAACAATACCCGTTGCTTATGCAACTAGTTATTATGCTCTATTTATACGGGGTCGATTGAAAGCAGGCGAAAGCGTGTTAATCCACGCTGGTACAGGCGGTGTTGGTCAAGCAGCGATCGCCATTGCTCTGTATGCTGGCTGTACCGTCTTCACTACCGTCGGCACACTAGAAAAGCGAGAATATCTCAAGAAAATCTTTCCTCAGTTGAACGACAGGCATATCGGCAATTCTCGAGATACGAGTTTCGAACAGCTTATACGTACCGAGACGCAAGGACGTGGAGTCGACGTTGTACTAAACTCACTAGCAGAGGAGAAATTGCAAGCCGGTATTCGGTGCCTCGCATTCGGCGGCCGTTTCCTTGAAATCGGCAAATATGATTTGTCTAATGATAGTCGCGTAGGAATGTCAATGTTTTTGAAAAATACGTCTTTCAACGGTATATTGTTGGATGGACTATTTGGAGATGACAGCACGGAAAAGAAGGAATTGGTAAAATTCGTTTCGGAGGGAATAAAAAATGGCGCGATACGTCCTCTCCAGTCTACCGTGTTTTCGGAGCAACAGCTCGAGCAAGGATTCAGATTCATGGCGACAGGCAAGCACATCGGCAAAGTGCTACTGAAGATCCGTGATGAGGAACCAAAGAAGCGTATATTACCAATACCAAAGACAGTAGCCGCGATTCCGCGTACTTACATAAATCCGGAGAAATCGTATGTACTTGTTGGCGGTCTCGGTGGGTTCGGTCTAGAACTGGCTGATTGGATGGTCGCCCGTGGTGCTAAGGTCATTATTCTCGTATCGCGCTCAGGCATACGCACCGGTTATCAGGCATTGTGTGTGCGTCGTTGGCGTGAAAACGGCGTAAAAATCGTCATCTTCACCGCGGATGTAACAACGTTATCGGGTGCCCAACGCTTAATTCAAGAAAGCAACCGGTTGGCCCCGGTAGGCGGTATATTTAATCTGGCAGTCGTACTACGTGATGCTCTGATCGAAAATCTCAAAGAAGCTGATTTCAAAACAGTCATTTTACCTAAAGTTGATGTTACAAAAAATTTAGATATAGTATCAAGGAAGCTTTGCCCATCGCTAGATTACTTTGTGGTGTTCTCGTCCGTATCGTGCGGTCGCGGCAATATAGGTCAAACCAATTACGGTTTCGCAAATTCTACCATGGAGAGAATAATGGAAGAAAGGCAGGCTAATGGTTTACCCGGTCTCGCCATTCAATGGGGTGCTATCGGAGACGTTGGCTTAGTTATCGGTAATACTATAGAATTTTCCAAAAATATCTCAAATTTCTCTCAATCAAATAGCTATTCTTGAATAATTTACCTTCAAAAAATTTTTTCAATTTGCCTTTTCTTTGATTTTGTCAATTGGATTTCATTTTATGCTTTTTATAAAAGATATTATTGTATAAGACAGTAATAATGATAGAACAGATAATGCACGTTTGCATATTTGTTCTAGATTTATTGTATGATATAAAATCACAGTTTCTCTTATGATATTATTTCTTTTCAGAAACGATGGGAGGTAATGATACCGAAGTGGGTGGTACTCTACCACAACACATGCAGAGTTGTCTCGCGACAATGGATATATTCCTTCAACAACCGCACCCGGTGCTCGCATCGTCGGTGTTAGCTGAAAAACATAAATCAGATGACGACAATAAGGCCGATCTCGTTGCAACCATTGCTAATATCTTAGGCGTTAAAGATGTTAACACGATTAATCCTAATAATAGTTTGGCCGACTTGGGTATGGACTCGTTGATGGGCACGGAGATAAAACAGACCCTCGAGAGAAATTACGACATCGTGTTGTCGGCTCAAGAGATCCGCGTCTTAACTTTCGCCAAACTGCAAGAATTATCTTCGACGAGTGGTGAAACAGTGAAAGACCAACAATCTATTGTTGCAAATGCGATCACTGTTACAAACTCAAACATCGATATGCTGATGCATTGGCCGAGCAATGAAGTGCTACCTAAAGAGGCCCTTATTCGCCTGAAGACAAAAAGTTCCAACGGACCGATGTTATTCACTGTTCATGGTATCGAAGGTTTTGTTAAACCATTAGAATATGTGGCCAGCGAACTCGACAGGCCGTGTTGGGGTTTACAGAGCGTTGAACAGGCACCTCATGAAACGATCTCAGAGTTGGCTGAGTTCTATGTGAATGCTATTAGAAAAGTTCAAAAAAAAGGACCATATCACTTAGCAGCATATTCATACGGGACTTGCGTTGCCATCGAAATGACTCTGCAATTGGAATCCGCTGGAGAAAATGTGATTCTAAATCTAATCGATGGTTCACTGGAATTCGTACGACAGCAATGTGATATGATTGGTAAACTAGAAGAAATGGAAAACATTACTTCAGAAGGCTGTATGAAAGCGCTGGCATATTTCATCATACAAATTAACAAGAATGTCAGTTTTATTCAAGTAAGTGTAACAGTATCCGCCCTACTTATCTTCGTTTACCTTAAATAAGGAAAAATCCATACATACATGCATACAGGGTGTAACTAAAAAAATATATATGGAGCATACCATGAGATACAGGACAAGAATCCAAGTAGAAAAATCCTGAGTCATTTTTTGATCTGAGCTTTCAGTTCGTTGTTATACGATGTTAAAGTTAGCGAATTAGTGCCCGAATATAAAAGAAAAATAGGGACATAGCAAGGCGGAGAGGAGCTGATGGACGAATTCGCGGCAGGAGGAAAATGACGGTGAAGAGCGAAGCGGTTGTAATTATTAATCTCTCTCTCTCTCTCTTCTCCCTCTCTCCATCTCTCTTTCCTCTCTCCCCCTTCTTCTCTTTACATCTTGTTTAAAGAAAAATCAGAAAATGCAGAGCTAAAATAAATGATTTGATGTTTTCGACCCTAATAAATTATCGATTTAGGCTGAACTATAATCGGTTACTTATTTCATTAAAATTATAATAATGAACTGAAAGTTCAGATCAAAAAATGACTCAATATTTTTCTACTTGGATTCTTGTCCTGTATCTCATGGTATGCTCCATATTTTTTTTTTTTTTAGTTACATCCTGTTTGTGTATGTATGGATTTTGAAATTTCTCTTTGGAATTTGGTAATGAATTATATCATAATAATTATTGAACGTCTAGTAAATTTTTTAAATCTTAATTAGTCTCATTAGCAACTTACAATATATATATATATATATATATATATATATATATATATACACAATAGTTGAAGTATATTATATAAAATTTAGATATTTGTTTTACAATTTACGTTTTATTTCAGGCGTATAATATTTTGAAGCAAAGTAATTCAGATGTGGAGATGTTTGATAAGATGGTAGAAGTGATAGGTAATACATCGTTTATACAGGAAGATCTAAAGGTAGCCGGATATCTTTTATTCAAAAAATTAGCGGCTGCTGTAATCTATGATCCAAATAAAAAGATCAAAGGACCGGTCACACTAATTAAGGCTTCAGAAAATTTCCTACATCTAGAAAAGGATTATGGTTTATCGAATGTAAGAGTGTCATCTTTTTTGTCCCATCTTTTTTATATACAATTTCTTGAATATTTTCAATAATTAAGTTTCTTTTTGTGGCATTGCAAATTAACTGGAAGATTAAAGTCAAATTTTATTTTAATGTTTTAATATAATTTGAATAAAAAAAATTTTTTTTTAATATATCATAACTAAAAAAATGAAAAATTGATGAAAAAAATTTCTAATTAAACATTAGTATAGTTACTATGTAATATTTATTACCTTTTTATACGTCTATACATACACTTTATTAAAAGTTAATAAAAATTACATTTTAATTCTTCTTACTATCTGTATGGAATTCATATTTAAAAAGTTAAATATATATTTTATCTTTTTCTTCTTTTTTCAGATTTGCACACAACCCTTAAGAATAGAAGAAGTGCATGGCAATCACAGGACGATACTGTTAGGAGAAAGTGCAAAGAGAATCGCAAGTTTTTTGCGAGTTTAGCTTGCGAAAGAACATCCGTATTTTAAGTTTTATTATATTTGAGAATGATTACGTGGCTCACATGCCACGCGTTGCCGATAGAACTTAATATTTTCCATAATACAGAGAAGTTGCAGAAACATTGTACATAAATGTCTTGTTTCAAAGTTGCAATCTATTGCAAAAATATGACACATTATATTGCTACAATGTAACTAAAAAATTCTGTGCTATGTGAATTGACATAATTAGTAATTTGCAAAAATCTTTCTCGTACACATTTCACTTCATTATTTTAGCTGGTCTAAACTCTATGTAAGCAATTGAATCGTACAGAATGAAAACAAGCAAAAATAAAACAAAAATATAGCTTCTTAGAATAGTAAATCTATATGTTACCACTTATTCACGAAATGCAAAAAATTTTGTAACTTTTAAGTTTAAGAACTAATTTTAGGATTATGTATAAAAAAAGTTTGTTATATGATTTCCAAAGTGGGCAAATTAAATGTCCTTTATTTACTTTATGTTAATAATGGACACAACATTGCTATTTATTTATATGTATATTAATAATTATTCTGTTTATTAAACATTGATTTTCATTACTTTCTTCCTGTTAATTAAAACAGATATTTTTAAACGGGTTGATCTCATTATCTTTAGCTTATAATTAGAGTTTTTTAATTAGAGCCTTTCATCATATAATACAATGATGAAATAACAAGCAACCATAAAATACACATATATATCGTAATATTACACTTGATATGATTCTTAATTATTAATTAAAATCACATAGTTTTTATTGAATCCCTACTATTAAAATATTCTCGATAGACATTATCTCAACTATTATAAATTTTTCTCATATGTAACATACACACACACACACACGCACGCGCGCGCGCGCACACACATACACACGCACACACATTATATGTTTTATTCCATTAATAGTTCCAAGTTCATTCCAACGAAAAAATGTATTTTTCACAAACTTTACTTTAAAATGATTTAATATGTATATTATCTCTCTTCTTTTTCTTGCTTATATATAACCTAATATATTATTATAAGTATATATAAGCAAAAATATTGTGAGATAAATAACACAAATCTAATATATCAACATTCTAAATTTTCTGATTATTTAATCAAATATATTTTCAAAAACAAATTTATATAAGTAATACTTATTTTCCTTTACCTACTATTATATTATAATACTGTTCAATCGTGTCATTTGCCAAAAAAAAGTTGTGGGTAAAAATATCTTTGATAATTCTTATAATTTATGATATTTTTTCATGTAAATATTAATGAATTTGTGTATTCGATAACTAAAAAAATATTACATATAATACATAAATATGTATAATATGAAATAAAAAATTTTAATTTAATGCATTTAGTGCATTTAATTGAAATCAAATGTACTAAAATTTACATTGGACATCGCGACATTTTTATTGCATGTGAAAAACAAGTTCAAAGCGTAACGAGTACCAGATTTCACTCTTTCAACTAGATGTACATTTTCACTTCCTGAAGTAAATATTAATATTCTGCCTGAAAATATTGGTAAATTTTGTCTCATCCTTTTAGAATAAATTTATAATTGTAAACGCCTTACCTTTTCTGGGTTCTACTGTAGTATTGACACCATTCTTATCCATAAATATAAATCGGCCACCTTCAAAATCTTTATTAAAATCACTTAAATATAGCAACACTGTGTAATGAAGCGATTCGTATAATTCCTGAAATATATAGTCTTGTTATAATTCTATATTACATATAAAACAAAACTTCCTGATTGTTTAACGACGTAAGACAAACCTTGTCGACATGTGGATGCCAGTATTCGTCGTCTATGGTTTTTGCGGATTTATTAGTCATCCGCGAAAAGAAGAGAAGTTTGTTTAAATAAACCTTATTTATATCTCTGCCGAAATTACGCGCTACTGCATGTTGTATTTTTGTTTCCACTACCCTGTAAATTAAGAAAGAACATAACATATATTATATAATATTAAATTAACAATATAAATTAAAAATATATAGGACTCGAAGAATGAATTTATTAAGAAGGGATTAAAAAGTCAATTGAAAGTCTATGCGATTATTGCTGCGTAAACATTTTTTTATTTATTCATCTCAACTAATCCGTATATGTTTCAACTAACATTTTCAATCCTTAATGAGAAAACATTAAATTAACAAAATAATACATATCGATTTTTTAATATTCGAGGGCTAGTGTGAAGTTGGTCCCCCAAAACATAATTCTCGTATATCTTTTGAACTAAGGGTGAGCAAACGAAAATTCCAACTGAGCATTCGGGAGCAAACGATGAGCAAACGAATGCATGAAAATAAAAAATCGATTTTTTAATATTGGGGGGCCAGCTTCACACGGGTCAAGATGAGACATATGGAAACAGTAAAATTATACATAAAACATATATAATGTGAAATCAACTTACATGAGAACTAATCAGTGAAATTATTTTGCGATTATATAATGTGAAAGTTCTGTTAAGCTGATCAGAACTATGCGACCTTGAATTTCGTTAAAAAGTTAGCACCCTATTTTTAAAAAATTATTAAAAAAATGATTATTAAGCGCATATGTCATTAAAAATCATAGAGAACTCTTCGTATCGTCAAAAAGAAACAGGAATTATCATCAGAACTGTTGTATCTAAAAATTAATTTTTCAAAAATTTTTAATTTTTTTTTTTATTATTCGAAAATTTTTTTTACATATCAGGAACTCTAGGCAATCGCAAATTGAAGCTATTAAGCCGCTCAGAACTATTCCACCTTGAAATTCGATAAAAAGTTAGCACCCCATTTTTAAAAAATGTAAAAAAAATGTTTATTGAGCGGAATTCTTGTTATTAACTATAGGGAACTCTTCGTCTCGTCAAAAGGAAGTGGGAACTCTAATCAGAACTCCTGAGTACTATAGTTGGGGTGCTAACTTAACATACCCATAAGAACCGCACTTTTTTCCTAGAACAGTCCTTGCCATTGGCTATCGCTACTTAACGACACCGACAACTATCGGTAAACGTGTACAAAATATAGGCCTTTGTATTATCTTCAAATATTGCATCTTGCTCGGTATAATAAGCGTTCACTTAGTCTGTACATTACAAATACAATGCATTAAACAAGACGACTTTGGACTGTTTGTATTTTTTAATTCGTGACAAAACGACTCAAATATTATGTATACCATAATTTCTAGATTATATTATGTGTTACTTTATTAATTGAGAAGGATGGAAAACATCGATTGTAATGTACGCGGATTAGTTTAAACAAATAAATAAAAAATTTTTAATAAGACTAGAAACAATAAGATTAGAAAAAATTTTTTGCGCACCAATTACCACATATACTCTTAATTGGCTTTTTAATCCCTTCTTAATATTAAGTTAATTATTTATGTGATCTTATAATCAGTAAATACACAAAATATTTAATACATATTACATTTGTATATGTACTTTAGAATCTGCAAATTTTAGAAGTAGAAATATATTTATTTATCACTTATTAAGGGAGTTTAGATAAACAATCTATAATATTAATATATTACATGCAATTTAAAACATTAAAGAATATTTTGCTCTAAATTTACTCCGCAAAAAGAAATATTTATAAATAATAATCATACTTATAAATTGCTGTATCTAGACTATTAAATATTTTCTTCACTTCTGATGCATAGATATTGACGAAACCTTGGTCCTTGCTAAAAGCACCTGAATAAAGAAGCACAATATTCGCACCACCATCAGATTCAGACCAATATAATCCACTTTTTGCTACTTTCAGTAAAATATCTGCTTCTGTTGTCGAGACGAGTTTGTCAGTTACAACTCTACCGCATTTTTCTGGTACACAGCCACAGTATTTTTCTAATTCATTGTTATAATCCATAGAGCAGTCAACATTCTGTGTACGGCTTACCAACACATCTTTCTGCTTTGCTAGGTATACTTCTTTATCCTGTCTGTTAGTACACCAAACTATTAGTAAGACTCCAAGTATCAGAACACATCTAGACCATACTCTTTGATGTGGAAAAGATACAATAGGTCCATATTTCCTACAAGATAGAAGACAGACTATTAATTGATACATGGACATTATTTTACTTTTATAAATTAGATGAGTTTTCAATAGTAGCAAAAAAAAGCAGAGTATTTTTACTTTCTTTTATATGCATATTATGCACTTGATCATTATTTTCAGATACAGTGTAATATTAAAATTTGAAAGATAGATAAATATTAATGACAATATAAGATATTTTTTTAACTTAATACTTACAATTCAACGGGTTTACTTGGTTTTTCCGCCTTGTTTTCTTCCTGCGTTACACTTTCCTTCTGCGCGCTTTTTCTTTTACTTCTCTTCAGCTCTTGTGTTGTCATCGTGTATATTGCTATATATATTATCACTGCTGTTTATCTTTTAAATATTTAATTTAACTTTTTACGATTCACGCGCAAATCAACTAATGTCAACTAGAAAAACTCTCATGGTTATACTTGTCAAAAAAATATCAACAATCAAACTCATTGATTACTTACCTCTCAATTGTAGGATGCGTTCAGGGCTGCGCCGGCTGCGGTCCACTTAGCACTTTAAACGCTACAGAGCATTTGTAGCACTGATATGACTGGTTCATTTGATGCTCCGGAACGCTCCCAGCAACTCGGATTACGTCATCAATTCGTCATCGTTTTCGCTCTAACTGCCTCATCTCGGGAGATGGGTTAGCTGGAGCGTTCACGTAGCAATTGTAGCATTCGGAACAGTAATGAACCTATTCAAGGCTGCGATTTACTTGCTTTTCCCAAATGTTCTGTGAACACTACGCTTTAAACGCTACGATTGGATCGGTTCATTATTATTCCGAATGCTACAATCGCTACGTAAACGCTCCAGCCAACCCACCTCCCGAGGTAAGGCAGCGGGAGCAAAAACAATGACGTATTAATGACGTAATCAGAGTTGCTGGGAGCATTTCGAAACGTCAAATGGAGCAGTCATGTGCTACAAATGCTCTGTAGTGTTTAAAGCGCTAAGTAAACCGCAGCCCAAGCATGGCATTTAGGGCATATAGCATTGAAATTATTTGGAAGAAGCAAGTGGACCGCAGTCCAGATCGAATTGCGCACAGTGATGCGAATTCCAACTCATTTGCAGCACGCGATCAGCGCCATCGATCAGCGGCCTGGCGCAATCGGTAGCACCAGGTAGCACACACACAAGCAGAAGCTCGTGCACGTGTGGTTTGGTAGCGGAACTTCTGCTGAAATTGTTGAAATCTATTAATTTGATAGATTTTAATTATTTCAGCGATTTATTATTTCTATCAAGAGTAAATTTCTATCAAGGCAAAAAGGTGAATATTGTTATGTAATTTACATCCACTTCTTCAGAGGGCAGTAATACGCGCATATCCTCTCTGTTTTTCTGGTGGAAACGCATCTACAGGCTTTTCTCTTAAAAAATACTAGACTTTTGGGTAATCTTGAAAATAGGGGAAGATCTTTAATATGACTTTTGGTAACACTGCTCTTCGAACACACACATGTAATTGCCATGTAACGTAACATATGCATCTATTCCGAGATCCGAATGCTAGGTTATTATTCTCGTTTCGTCACTTGCCTTTGTGAATTATCGTGATTATATTGTTATGCAGATGATATAATTCACATCATGCTGTTATGTTTTCTTTGTCATTATCGTTAATAAACATGCTATCCTTTTTCCGAAAATTATCAATTGGCGGAAAGATAAAGGATGGTATACTGCCAGAGACAGTCATGGGAACGGCAGAGGATCTATTGACGGCGAAGAATGAAACGTTAAAGACTGATATCGAGTTAAAAGAATCCGTTTACGGCAAGTTTTGCGCTCTATTTGTGTCTTGTAATGCGCGACCTTTTGGATATTGTGTCCTCCAATATCATTGAGATGGTGCGATATTGCAAATGACTTGTCCCTTACGCTTATTAAAACACTCAAGTAAACACTGAAATTTTTCAGGCAAATTCTATCAATTTATATTCATTCGGCAATTTTTATTGCTTTTCAGATTTATTAAGAACGATCAAGGATCCTGAAAAACCACAAACTTTAGAGCAATTAGATGTTGTCTATGAAGATTGCATAAAAGTTTGTCACAGTACACCAGGAGGAGTTTCTGTCATTCGTGTGGAGTTTAATCCTACAGTGCCTCATTGTTCTTTGGCAACTCTCATAGGATTGTGCATCCGCGTTAAATTGGAACGCCAGTTATCAGCGTCGTTTAAATTAGATATCTATATTAAGAAAGGTGCACATTCCACTGAACAGGAAAGTACGTATGCTCCTTAAATCTTACTCAGTTTTCCGTATTTAATTTGTCAATGACATGTGCTAAATTGCAGTTAACAAACAAATTAATGATAAAGAACGTATAGCGGCTGCAATGGAAAATCCAAACTTACGGGAACTGGTGGAGAAATGTATATTAGAAGAAGATTATTAGTGTTTTGCAATAAAGCATACGCTATGTCAGATATTTTTCTGAGAAATACAATTTTAATCTAGTTTATTACACCATGTAAATAAATAATGTATTTTGTTTATATTAGCGTATAATTAAGTACAACTCATCTTGCGCATAAACATGATGAAGTTATTTCAATGGAGATATCACAATCAAATTTCTTTAAGTAATCCTATATTTTTCATAGAGATGCATGAGTGTGTATTCAATTGTATAGACACGCCCATTAAAATATTTAATTATACATTTTATATAATGTAAATGCGTAATATACCGATTTTGTCAAATACATACATAAATAGAATAAAAAATTTTAATCATTTCATTGTAATAATATGAAGAAGAAAAGCTGCGAGGAATATGGTAAAAATTGAAAGGGACAGAAATGTGAGGCAAGGTAATGTGTCAGGAATATACAGGAAGGCTAGAGAGAAAATTCTGTGCAAGTAGTTAGGCGAAGTAAATTAATAAAGAAAAAGTGAGTAAAAGTTACGCGTGGATAAGTTGATTGATTGAGCGAGGTGTAAGATTATGAATTAGAAATACAAGAAGACTAGAGAGGAAATTTTTTTTAATTAGTTAACGAGAGGAGGAAAATTGAGATACCATAAAATGAAATATATGAGAGTCAAAAAATAGATTAAGAAGGTAATAAGAGAGAAAAGGTTTTAAAGTATAATGTCGATAGATGAGTGAAGGTTAGTTGAGTAAATTAGGATAAAGAAAAGAGGAAAAATGCGCGAGAACAAGGTACGAATGTGTGAGGATAAGTTGATAAATTGTAAACCAAGTCTCCTTCTTAGCTACGTATGCTTGAAGGTAATAAAGTTCTTCTTCATTGTAACAATATTTTTTTATTTTTCTTTAACTCATAAAAGAATATAATCTAATCAGAATAAAGAAAACTTCCAACAGTTGTTAAATAAATGGTCTATTGAACGGGGCAGTCATTTTTATTTTCTTTATCGAATTATACATAATGACTAATAGAAATAAAGAATAACGATATGTAAAATAATACTTTTTAATATATTTAAGACGTAATTTATTTTACGAGTATAATTTCTTCGAGAGAAAAGATACAGTTTTAATTTGTACAAGATAATTTATATAAGGTTTTTAAATGCGACGGATACTTTTAAATCCTAGACTCTGTCTGTTTCAAAATAACGCATTACAGGTGCATGCACTGATATGCGTTACACTGTACGTAGGATGTATGCACGTACCTACATACATACAACGGAACAGTGAAATAATTACGAATTAAGCAAACCACATGCGCGACATTCGCGGAACATTACGTGATTTATACAGCGCGTTGCGCGCAATATACGATAGTGATCAAAGCTGCCGTGCGGGCGTCAGAGTTTCTATACATTTCTACCGCTTCTGTGATGACTATACCGGATCACATTCGCATCGCGTGGCGTCAGTCGTCAGCGGTCGTCAGTCGAGTGCGTCGAGTGTCGAGTGTCTAGTCCAGTCGAGTCTCGAGCAGCCTCGAGCTGCAAACAGGTGCCTTTCTTTTTACTTGTATTATTAATCGATATTTTTGGAAGAAAATATTTTCAAATATCTTTAAAAATAAGTGATCTATTTAGGGAGTGAACCAATTTTTATTTGCAAGATACAAGTTAAAAATTTCTCTGTAAGAATCTATTAATTATTATTGTTAAAAATATGTTAAATTTAGAGCTTGTGTTTATAATTACATTTTTCGAATTATTTCTCTTCTTATTTCCTAAATTGGCAAATTTTTTGAATTGCATTTTTTATTAATCTACGTCTTAAATAAACATTGTATAAATAGGGAATGTTTGTTACTGTTTAAAAATGTAATTTATACATATATATACATACATGTACATATGTATATATGTACAAATGTGGTACACAATTAAATTTCTAAAATTTCAAGTTGTAACTAAATTTTTCTTTAAAATAAAAAAAATATATACACACATATATATGTAAACTTTTTTAGCCAAGTCAAGTGTACAGCATTATAAATCATCGTGTGATGAAGATGGGCTACAGTTTGTCTTTCTCGATTCTTATCGTCCTATTATTCAAGTTCTTTACGCATGGCTTACCATTACAAGAGGAACTTTACGGTATAAAATATGTAAATATTTTAAATATATTAAGTTACTAGGACAGTATTAATATGCATTTCAAACATTTTCTATTTGAAATATTATTTTTCTTCTCCACATTTCTCCGAGAAACTGCATCTAAGGTTTTGTGTGTATGTGTGATTAATTAATTAATAAAATTTCTTGTATCCTTGTATATTATTGTCTACCATTATAGTTACAAGTAAAATGTGATAAAAACAACTCGTGCCAGGGTTAACAGATCAATTTGATAAAATCGTGTTTTTAATGCATTACAGAAAGTCCTATGAGTAATTCAATTAAATTGACGCAATCTTTGCAAAATATATAATAATTGCTGTTGATCTACTTTCGAAGCTATGACTAGATAAACGTCACAGAATGGAGTCCAGGGTGAATCGTTATCGCATTTACACACGCTTATTCATTTTCTATTTAACTCGATTATGAAAATGATATGATTCATTCCCAGCATTAGTTATAATAACATATACTTTCCGATAATAATGATACGTGCAATATCGAAATGATAAATTAGGTGTGTTTACAGTACTTACATTAACAGTTTTTCTTTGCTCTCTAAGATTTATATGCCAGAGATATTATCCATAACTCGATCTTAATTTTGATAATTGTCATTTCTGTAAGTTTTTTTTTTTTTTTTCAAGAAAATAGAGAGCAAATTTCTAAATTAACATTACATATTTTTATAATTAAATCTCACATTGGAGTTCATGATGTATTAATAAAAAATATATAATTTTAATATTTGTTCGCTTTTCTAAAACTCGATTTATGAAATCATCTTTGTTCATTATCGTTAGGAAATTATTAATTCTCGATATTTTCGTTAAATTTTTTATGGATTATAGTTTATGCAAGCTGTATAAAATTTTATAAGTGGAACAAAATATCCCCTTATTTCAATTAATGTTGTGGATAACGTTCGCCGCTGAATGACGCGACTGTTTTTCCCCGCGGCTACTATATAAGGTTTTTACCACTACCAGTACGCACAATGACGCAGTATAATATATACAATACAATATAAAAATAATAAGGGCCAAGAGTCAAATTACATACGTAATTAATTTAAACGAAAATTATAAAAAAATACTATCATTAAAAAATGGGGTGTAAGTGTAATCTCACGAGAAAAAGTGACTGTCAGTCTCGCGAATAAAAATGCGGGCGTGTATAAGATTAGTTCAACGACCATGCAGATGAGTTTTTCCTTATAGGCTTTTCCTACGATTCTTTAAAATATATCAGCAAAACATAATTCGAAATTGAAATCTCGTTTTACTTGATACAGAAGGCAGTTATTGCACAACAGAAAATGGCGAGAGGGGAGTATGCAAAAAGATATACGAATGTCCATCTAAATTGCAAGAGGTAAAGGAGGGTAGAAGACACTCAGATTCGAAGGGGCGTTGCGGTTTTCAGGATTTCATCGAAATCGTTTGTTGTCAGTTCAATATTACGGACAAGATAGGACTTCGACCAGCAGAGATAGGTATGATATTATTTTGATCGACGAAATATTGTTACTTATTTCTTAAAATAGGCGTTTTATATTATATATATAATCCGAAAATTAAAGAATTGCGATGGAATTTAATTTGTTAGATGCAGTGCAATTTCGGGCTAATTGAAAGAAAAATTAAGCGTTATAATTATTCTTTTTAAATTTCATTACAATTAACTCGTTTCTTTTGTTTTGTAACGTGTCACGATCGATTTCTACATTTAGGATATATTCCCGCAAACTAAAATCAATCATCTGGATTTATAAATTGCTGTGCTACTCGATCGTGAGATATGTTAATTCGAGATAATAAAGGAAGAAGACGAACGATGAGAAAATCGATCGACGAATGATTACATTCCGCATCTTCGAAAGATACGCTGTTGATTAACATTTTATCTTTTTTTCAAAAACAGGTTTTTCAGGCAGCTATAATTTTTTGATAACAGTCTCTTATTTTCTTTCTTCAAAAAACAAAATGCGATGATATCCATGTTTAATATTCATGTGTTTTGTAACTTACACCTATTATGATTTTAAGATACATATTTTCCAAAATATCTGCATTTACACGCATCAATACAAACGTTAGCACGAAATTGTTTCGATGTTATCGTATTTATCACTATTATAACGTATTTATGTCGTTAACACGCGCAAATGTGTGCAAATTGCATCGTTTCCGAGAATCTCGTTTAAATAACAAACGGCCTTGAAATGGAGATGCGCACGGTGATGTAATACTCGTCATGATTTTACGCTAACAGTTACGATAGATCCGGATAGACAAGTCGGTTGCGCGTTAAATAGTTGATCGATTATGTCCTTTAAAATGCAAAAGGTTTTAATGCACGTCGTCGCACCTGGATTTTTAGCATGTCGTGAATATGAGAACGAGATCGGGACTAACAGTAAGGAGAAGAGAGACACGGCTGAGGTGCAGTTCAACATATTCGGTGGCACTCAAACCGAACGCGGGGAATTCCCGTACATGGTCGCCTTGGGATACGAGAACGAAAACAAGGACGATGACAATTCGGAAGCTATCAAGTACAACTGTGGTGGCACATTAATTTCCTCGCAATACGTACTGACCGCTGCTCACTGCGTTAGTAATATACAGGAGAAAGTACCAGTAGAGGCAAGTAACGAAGCGAGCTCCAAGTTCAAGGTCTCGATTCACTGACCATCTAAATATCTGCGTCGGATCGATTTGGGGGAAAGTGATTTTTATAATATATTTTATATGTGTGTGAAAAGAGAAAACGAAAAAATGAGAAAGACTAAATTTGCATAAAATACTTTAATCGTGAGAAAAGATTTATCAATTTTCGTCTAAAAGTATAGGGAATATATTCGAATACTTCTTCTTTCGATTGATTTTACTAACTAAATAAATAATAACATTTCTCTTCATTATCAATCGTTTAAGGATTGTAAATGTTCTTTACTTCTACAGGTGAGAGTTGGCAGCGAAGATCTGAAGAGCGTTGGGGATGAGCAACGAATTCCCATAAGCAACGTAATACCGCATCCGCAATACAAGCGCAGCGTGAATTACAACGACGTGGCTATTCTGAAATTAAGTACGCCCGTACGTATGGCGAATAACGTACGGCCGATTTGTATCCAAACGAAATCTTTAGATTCCATGGATGTAGAATCGAACGTAACATTTATCGTGATTGGTTGGGGTGCTACTAGCTTCGGCGAGGACGGCAGTACCCAATTAATGAAGACACCGAGTCTCAGGTGAGAAGCATAATACATAACGTTTCTTACAATTAGTAATAACTCTCTGAGAAACATTTTCAAACAGTATGCTCACAGATTAGAAAAAGCTGATTTGTATTACACAGTCAAAGTTAGTTAATATAATTTAGACGCTTGACAAAATATATTCTTGCATATCTGTTATACTGGGTGTGAAAGAAAACCATTCATCATTTATATTGTGTGTACACACCATACTGAGCAAAACAGCCTATTGAACAGAAAAATTTTAATGAACGTAAAGAAATTCAACTATTTCTAAGAAACAATAACCATTTCTACAAACAATCCTATATGTTAATACATAACTGACTTATTGACTTTTATATACCGCATATGCGACGTAAAGACCTCAGTGTTTATAAACTACGTTCTGAACGTTTTGATTCAATTTCCAATTACGCACTTTATAATGAAAAATTTCACAGGGAATCAGTAAGTTGACATGAAGCAAGCAACCATTGGATAGGCATTATGCGAGGTCACTTCATAGAACCTTCTATAATTCTATCCAATAAACTATCAGTGCTACTTATCTGAATTTCCTTTCACGTTGTATGCAACATGTAGAAGAAACAATAAGTCAGTTATTATACTAATTAAAATTGCTGTTTATATCTGAAAAACAATTGAGATTTTGACCTATGTTTACCACAGCTTTTTGAGAAAATGATTTTTTTTAAACACCTATATATATTTTTATATAATGAAACAATGCTAATGAGGTCTACTATTACGATTTAAATTACGCTTCAATTTCTAGTCTCGTAGACAGAGAATCATGCGCCAAATCGTATAACGATTTCGGCAAGTTACCCCGCGGTTTGGACGATAACATGCTGTGTGTATTGGATACCAACGTTACAAGAAGATCGGACGCTTGTCAAGGGGACAGTGGTGGACCCTTATTAATGTTCACTGAATCTAGTCATAGCATTGTGGGAATCACAGCTTTTGGACAAATTTGCGGAGGATCTGTACCGGGAGTTTACACTGCGGTATATTCCTTCTTGGAGTGGATTGAGAATCAAGTCTGGCCAGAAATGAACAACGAATGGTAGATGGATCGCTATTCGTTTCGACTCTCGTGTTCAATGACTCAGCTACTCAGCACGACGTGACGCAATTTAAATACTCTAAAACTAAAGCGACTAAAGTGGTGTTATTACGTACGATAATCTAGTCTGAGGCTACGATCCACTCGATGCTACAAATGTTTCCAAGCATTTTCTTTATTGGTGAATTAGTAAAAATATTTTCTTCCGATTGGTCAATCAAATACTTCAAAGCATTTTGTATGTACCAAGTAGACCGTATCCTGAGCTATTCGTGTACTCAGTCTACGCAGCATTTACTCTTTCAATTCCTATCTTACAACGCGCTTTTGCGAATTTTATACTTTTATACATATAAGTCTGTTCTCGATAGTGATGTCATTCTGAATGTATACGTGCTTTAATAAACGTGAATATTCAGCTTGTTTTCCTTTCCCTTTTATTTTGGAAAATAACTTCTCTGTAATAACAAATTGGCGCAATGTTCAAACTGTTCAGTTGAAAAGCGTTGAGGATAACGAACTTTTCTTGTAAATGGAAACATGGCTGATAAGAAAGATGAAGAGAAGAAGGAAGACGATGAGCGTGTCGAGTTTCTTTATAAATATTTGGTGCTTTCAAGAAAGATTAAACTCGATAAATGGATAAAGATGTTAACAAACGAGGAATACAAGGTGTGATATTTTCTTCTAAATCTTAACCTTATACTCAACGAGAACTGAATTAAATTTTCATGTAACACACTATTTTCGTATCTCACACTGTGCTTAATCTAAATAATATATCGTTTTTCTTATTGTCTATCTATCTTGTATACATAATCTTAGTTCATTAAGCATATATAAAAAAAAATACAATATATAAATTGTATGAAAAATTTCTCAAGATCTATTTTATCCAAATTCGAAGAAATTGTAGAATTTTTTTATTTCACGCGAAAGCAAGAAAAAATAAAATTTTTTTTACACAAGTAAATTGCTCAATAGAGATTTTATTTTATCTGTATTACAAAAATGTCAGGAGACGGTTATGAAATTCTTCGGTACACCGTTGGAAATGATTCTAATAATCCAACTAAATTCAGCCGGTATGTTGGTGCCGTTTCTCGAGATACCACCAACAGGTCGGGTAAAGACATCGTATTTTATAAAAAAGTATCCTGTCGAGATCACGAAAGAAAATTACAGGAACATCATCATACCCGGCGACATGGCTTCGAAACCTATCGAAGAACTATTCGTCTTGGTTGAAGAGGTAGCGCGATTGCACACTCGAATTAAATATCGTTCTCGTTCATAAAAAAAAAGACTGATCCTTATGTGAATTTTCTACCTATAGGCTTATGTACCGATATTATCGAATCCGAAGAATCACAAGGACTGGCCTTGGGTTGTCGGTGAGGACATGAAAAAGCACGTTTACGATTTCCGCAACTTGATATGCCAGGTATGAATAGCTTTGACTCTTAATCCACAAGATATAACAGCTAAACACAGAACAGATTTACTGCTGTCTAATTATGTTTTCATTTCTTTTATCGTAATAAATTTTCTCATAAAAAATATCTTTCTTAAATCTCACATTATAGTCGCTCTTATAGTATCGACGAAAGGTGCTTTATCCTTTCAGGTCAAAGGTAAGATGATAGGACAAACCTTACTACCAATGCCAATGGGTATCGAGCAGATATTCGAGGCAGAATGGAAAGCGCAGCAGAGTGGAGGTGTCGCAGTCGATCTTCCTTTAAAAACCAATATAGAAATTATCGTGACAAAATGGTGTTCGCAAATCGGTGATACGTTAAATGAAGAAAGTCCAAAAAACGATAAACAGTTACTACCAAGCGCGGGTATTGTGCAGTATTTAAACCGTAAAATTATAAAAGAATTTTCTTGACACATTCTAAACATTGTACACATTTTTTCACATATATTATTTATTAGAATATAATATAATTTATATATTTTTATATGCACAAGACATGTGTTTTATAACACATGAAAGAACAGTAAGAATATAGGGTATGTTAAGTTAGCACCCCAACTATAGTACTCAGGAGTTCTGATTAGAGTTCCCACTTTCTTTTGACGAGACGAAGAGTTCCCTATAATTAATAACAAGAGTTCCGCTCAATAAACATTCTTTTTACATTTTTTAAAAATGGGGTGTTAACTTTTTATCGAATTTCGAGGTGGAATAGTTCTGAGCGGCTTAATAGCTTCAATTTGCGATTGCCTAGAGTTCCTGATATGTAAAAAAAAATTTCGAATATTAAAA